AGTATAACATTTCTGTTGTTTTTAGTTATATGCAACTGAGAGTATACATATAACAATTATAAACGCCTTCCGACGATTCACCACATAAGAGTCATTCAGTCTACGACATCGACTCGTGGCTATGTTGCGTTAGTATATATTGTTATGCTCAACTATTATATTCATACGACTTTCAATTGCTCAGACATTCAACTGTTTGAGATTCTCATCTGTTTGTAGTTTTCAGATGCTTTTGCTTTTCAACTGTTTCAACTCAACTATTTTCATGTTAGTAACGTGCAGCGTAAGAGAGCTGATCGCAGCACGACGACCGACTACTCCCCTCCACTCCGCACTCGAGAAAGCGTCACTGTATCAACTACGCAGCAATATAGTTGGAAGAAAACCTTACTACTACGTTATATTCATAATATGTATACTTATCTTTATGGCAATTTTGTTAAACAAATTATGAATGGTAATGCAGAACAAAAAAAAAAACATTTATTTACTCGAACTAGCAAATTCCTATGACTTCGTCTAAGTATCTAAATCTAAAAATCAACAATATTTGAAATGAATTATTTTCTTCGGTTTTTATTAACTTCCCATTAAGAAGTTATTGTAATTGGGTCGATTGGTAAAATTTGAATCACACCAAAAACAGCCCTAACGGACTTCACAAAAATATGCGCCAAGTATGAATAACGAAGACGATAATCATCGTTCATCAAGTGCGATTTCTATAAAACTTCTTTATGCGAACAACTACAAAAATGCATGAAATCATTGCAGCCAAGTATTTAAACATAAAGAATAGAAAAAAAAATTGAATTAAAAAAAAAATTTCTCTTTTTTTATAAAAATTTATTTAAACACAATTAACTTGGCGTGGCTATCAATTATATGAACCATCTAATCAATCATCGTTTTATCTACAGCTGTAAGAGCCACGCCAAGTTAATTGTGTTTAAATAAATTTTTATAAAAAAAGAGAAATTTTTTTTTAATTCAATTTTTTTTTCTATTTTCAAAATTTTAAAACGTAATAAGGCTGTCAACTATTTTCATGTATTGAATTTTTTTTTTATCTTATTATAAAGAGTTTGTCTTTGATTTATGTAGAAAATTACGTAATAATTTAACGAAAATTAAAAAACATTCCTATTTTATTTTAATAAATATAATTAATCTTTATGTTTAAATACTTGGCTGCAATGATTTCATGCATTTTTGTAGTTGTTCGCATAAAGAAGTTTTATAGAAATCGCACTTGATGAACGATGATTATCGTCTTCGTTATTCATACTTGGCGCGTATTTTTGTGAAGTCCGTTAGGGCTGTTTTTGGTGTGATTTCACGATTTTTTGTACAACAAACGGAATGTGCATCATTCGACTCCGTTACTACGACATGGAATTTTAGAACAGACATCACTATCTGTGTATAGATAGTACAGTACCAGACATAAATGCTGTTCAATTTTTCAAGGGTTCTACAGGCGATTTTCCTATACCGTCCTATAGAAAATCACACAGCATTGATGTCCGGTACTGTATAATAGTCTTCAGTCTGGTAGTATTTAACTATCAACTCAATAAAAAAAAAATTGTTATCTCCTACCGATCTTGAGATATAAACAAAATTATTGATTGAAGGACATGAATTAGTTTTCAAAAAACGTAAAACGATTTTTTTTAAAACGTCAAACCATCGGTAATACATTCTATGTATTACCTATCAACTTAAAATGTACATAAATATTTGTCGTTTTCGATACCGAAAAACTCGGTCGGCATAATACGGACACGGCATAATGACAGCGCGGAATGTACGATCGATCGTCGCGCATAACATCCACGCAGGTTCAGAATTAGAAGCGGCACCTTAAATTTTCCGGCATATTAGATTTTTGCGCCTTTTCTGATTTTAACTTATAAAATCTAAAAAGTAATAAGTGAGGAGATGTAAGTAAAATAATGAGTGCAATAATTCATATGAACACATAAATTTTAAATTCTATTCTTTAAATTTTTCCTCCTCTCTTTTTCTTCAATTTAGTAGGATACAATTTCTCTTCTATTGCATTCCCACCATCAACTTTTTTCATGAGAATTTCCTACAAATAAAAGAAAAGAAATACTTATTATGTTCAATTTTTAATTATTGTGATTAAATGTAAAAAATGGATTAGCTACCTTACTTATCATTTATGAGTCACTTAATTTTTCGTTAAACATTATAAAATAAATAACAATCTCTAGACTTTGTACACTTTGGTTTTCTTTAGGGGGAAATTGACCGTTCAGAATGAAGTCGTAAGTAGACAGAAGATTCATGCTGCATTCACATGAGAGTGAATCAAAAGTCAACAGAATAACTATTTGAATTCTTCTGTAAATCTATATTTAGAATTTTCCCAAAAACTCAATTTAAATAAAAAGTAATTTTGAAAAAAATTATTAATAATTTTAACACAATTTTAACTGTTGCGTCTTTAATGCCTTATACTAATGTACTGGAGCGACATTTGTATCAGTACTATACTGTCCTGAACATTTTGGTCATATAACATTTGTGCCCCTTTCGAAATGTGCTAGTAGTAAATTTACAATGTTGGTGGAGTA